GAGTTTGTGCAACCTGCACAAACTCCAGCTCACCATGATTATGGTGAAATGCAATGTAAAATTACCGAAAAAATACCAGCTCACTAAATCACAACCGCTCAAACCAACGACAAACTACTACCGCGGATTGGGCAGAGAACGAGTCCGAGAAAGTTGCTCCCCCATGTGACGTAATCTGACGCGTTTGACGTTAAAAAAAAGCAGTTTTTAGTAGCAGAGCTCAAAACGGCTCCTTTTCCTCTGAATTCCTGCCCTTATGTCTTTTAAAACATATCAAATCCTGCATTAACATTTGTAATTGTAATTTTCAGGCAACGTTGAGCATAAATGTAGTAAAAAAAAAACCTGCAAGTTGCTCTTTAAGTATTTCTTATAGCTATGCAGGGCATGCAAGCGAGCAAACACAAACAAGAACTCATGCAAACAAACAAGTGAAATGAAGAATAACAATTGAAATTGTACAATATAATATTGTGGTGGTTCATCTTATAATTCAGTCTAGAGAATGCACCAGACAGCATCTAAGACCTGCAAAAATCTAAATGTTCGAGGGGGAGGCCCCCCAAACCCTTCGTGCGTCATTTCGTCCGCGCACATTTTTCAGGGCAATCTTTATTGGGCTCAGGGCCATCTGTAAATCCTTAATGTGCCTGTTTCCAGTGTGTGGAGTGTACCTGTTTCCAGTGTGTGTCTGTGTGTGGAGTGTACCTGTTTCCAGTGTGTGTGTGTGTGTGTGTGTGTGTGTGTGTGTGTGTGTGTGTGTGTGTGTGTGTGTGTGCGTGTGTGTGGAGTGTACCTGTTTCCAGTGTGTGTGTGGAGTGTACCTGTTTCCAGTGTGTGGAGTGTACCTGTTTGCCTGTGAGGCGGTCGGTGTGGTTGACGACGCTGCACCCAGCGTGGCAGGGGGAGTAGTACATCACACCGTCTGCCCCACACACCGGGTTGTAAAGCTCTCTGACACAATCACAGCCGGCATTACAGCCCACCGTCAAGGTCTCCTCCAAAGAGCTGCAGGCAGAGGGAAGACAGCAATGAGATGAAAGGAAGGAAGGCTATGACTAAAACACATTTAAGTCAAAAGAGTAATTAACAGGAACACTTCCCACCTGTTCCTGAGGCGCAGCTGGCTGGGCTCGTCGTACGAGTCTCTGTCCAGCTGGTGTTTCTCCATCAGGTCGTACTGGTATGGTGCTGTGACACCGGCCATTGGCACGTTGGGGCAGTGGATGAGGAAGATGAAGATGGCGAGGAGACTTACAATGGCACACACCATGCAGAAACGGATGATGCCTCGACAGCGCAGGTTCATTCTCTTTACGATGTAGCCGCCCAGGAAGGTGCCCCCCCCGCCTGCTGGTACCACCATGTATCCTGGGAAGATAAATACACTTTCAGTAATGCTGCATTGCTGTAAATATAGCGTCCAAAGGACTCATGCTTTTATCCATTATAGTAGAGCTTTTGACATGATAGTGATGATCATAGAGAGATCCTTCACCACCATCAAGTCATCAAGTGTACTTGTAGACCTCATGTATTACAATCTGGTAAATTGTATTAAAATCTACTGCACAGATTAATGCTCCCTTTCCTGTCCTTTGGTTACGTTATTGGCTTTCCTGCAGCTCAAGATTCTAGTCTAAATTTCCATTTTGCACTAAAGATACAGTATCAGATTAAAGGTGTCTAAGGATTGGCCAGTGTTGCCATACCATAGTTTTGTCTGCCCTTTTATCAAAAACTCCAATAGACTTGAATGATACATCGTCTGATTTTACCCTCGGTCACTCACCGAACCATGTGGCAGCTTCTGATGCACTGAGGTTGAACTGAGACTCCAGGAACTTTGGACCAAAGGTGGACATGCCTGCGATGAGGGTGGCCTCCGTGGCCCCGGCCAGGCACAGGAACAGGAAGGGGGGGTTCTTTAAGAGGAGCAGCACGGACCTGGAGAGAGAAAGAGAAGAGGGGTGAGTCTAATAAATGTAATTTTCCTTTTTAATTAAAGCCGGCTGTGCTAATCTCAACAGCCTGGAGACGCTCCTACTGCAGGTCAACATGGCACGGGATATTTCCTCTTGTTACATAATGTACCATGATTATCGCCTACTTGTGAGTGTAATCCTCAGTGCTCCAGCGGTGACATCACACTTTGGCTGCTGCAATTTATTTTCTCTATGTTTTATTATTTTGTTGGAAAGACTGTTTCAACCACCACATAATCAACAACATAATAACTGTTACCTGCCTGCCTATCTACTTCAGTCGTAATTATCCAGATTTTAAATGGTTAGAATGTATGCATTCATCAACAAGATGTTTCCTTCTCAGCAGTTTCTAATTTAAATTGTGACTGACCTGTTCAAACACGCCAAAAAAACTTCCACAAGGAGAAACGAGCTGCAGCTTCAAAAGCGATGCAAATAAAAAAATCACAAATGTGCCAAAACGCATGCAAATGAAGCAAAATCTTCACCAACTTTAGAATACGTGTAGCATTTAGAGAACACACACCAACATGAGGAAACATGCAAGGGTTTACCTAAAGCGTTGCATAAACGAAACGCTGCAAATATAGAACGCTGCAAGAAGCTCAAAACCCAACGGAAACAAGGGGACACTAAAAAGTGACGCACACAGCTGGGACCGGAGCGCTTGTTGATTATTAAATTGGTCAACAATCACTATCATTGTCACAGTTGCATCGTTTCTGAAGCTGCAGTGCGTGTTCGCCCCTGTCAGCCACCGCACAATTAAATATCCTCCTCCTTTCTTAATATCTAGGTTCTTTCTCTGAATATTTTCCATGTAATACAATACAATAAAAACAGCTCTTCATGTGAATGCTCTCGGCCATTATTACAACCCATACATGCCCTCACACATTATGGTGATGTCATGTCTGTCTACAGTATAAACCACTCCTCCCCTAATGTCCTCTTCTTATTCAGTAAATGCCTAACCTTGGCATGTCTTTGACTGATTTTCCAAACTGAGGGTCTGCGGCTGTGGTGTGGCTGCCATCCTTCAGCTGGTGGGCTTCAGAAACCCGCATGGCCACGTACTCCTGAGAGCCTGCAGGGAGAGGAAGAGAAAATAAGACTGAGTGACAAATGACATTCCCATACATAATAGATCATGTGTGTGTGTGTGTAAGTGTGTGTGTGGTACCAGGAAGCTGTCGTGGGTAGCCCAGGATGGGGAATGCTACCAGCAGAGCTGCTGCTCCTCCTGCCAGGAATCCAATCCACCAGGCCCCCACCCACAGAGGGTTATCTGGAGTCATCTCTGTCCTGTGAACACACACACACACACACACACACACACACACACACACACACACACACACACACACACACACACACACACACACACACACACACACACACTATTACATCAAATGCTGTGAAATGTATATTATATTCTTCAAATTTCTAGTCCGTTAATAGTGTAGTGTAGTTTCTATTCCAGCCTGTTCTGTGTGAGATTCTTGTATTGCAAAAACTTTGTTTGAAAACCAACGGCATACTTTATGATGGTGTTTTCTTTTGATACTATGTTGACAGTTTGAAATAAAGATTTAAATGTTTTTAATTCAGATAACATTATTGAATATAACGTTATTACACGGTCTAAAAAACATTAGAATTCCTCCATCAGAAAACACCATGGAATACTTTTTGAAAATACATTTTCATATTTTTGAACAGCACAGAACTGTAGAGAAAATAAAAAGAGAACAAGAAAACAGTACAAGAGAAGGAAGAGGTTAAAAGGGAGAGAACTGGAGGACAGAGAAATCAACAAAAGAAGACAGAAAAGAAGGAAACACTTAAAGGAACAGAAGACGAAGACAGACAGGAAGTAAACACTAAAAGGAACGGCAGAAGAAGACAGACAGGAAGTAAACACTAAAAGGAACGGCAGAAGAAGACAGACAGGAAGTAAACACTAAAGGGAACAGCAGAAGACAGACAGATAGGAAGTAAACACTAAAGGGAAGAGCAGAAGACAGACAGATAGGAAGTAAACACTAAAGGGAACAGCAAAAGACAGACAGGAAGTAAACACTAAAGGGAACAGCAGAGGACAGACAGACAAGGGTTGCGGTTATATTACCAGTTTAGCTTAGGAAGGTTCCTAACGGAGTGAAATGACCTGGAAGTACCTCAATGGCAGCCGTGATAAGAGCTGTTCAGATTCTCTATATCAGGGGTGGGCAAACCTTTTGGCTCGGGGGCCACTATGAGTTGTACATTTGACAGACGGGCCGGGCCAGTAGCAGATCGTTAAAAAAATATTTAGCTGTCCACTCCTCATTATACACTCGGCACTCAATGTTGACTTTTCTTTTCTTTGGTCCACTTATTGTTACAGATGCAGGTTCAAAGGTGAATTAGGTTCAAAGGTGAATTATTGCGTCATCGTTTGCGTCATGACGTAACCGTTTACGTGCCTTCTTATGACCCACACAGCGTTTTACGTCGCTGATTTTCTCCGCAACACCGCTCACAACAACATCAATAGAGGACTGCGTCTGGTAGTTTTTAATTATACGAAGCCAGATTAAATTAAAGAACTACTTCTCCAGCCTTGTACCTTTCTCCAGAGTGCCGTGGTGCATTGTTTATTAATGTCCCTACCGCCCTTAAATAAGTCGACGCAACACACCTTCAGGTCTGGTACTTTGAAATTGTCGGGGCCCTTCTTATGAGGGCCATTCTGCTGGTCGTGACGTTCGTTCGTCATTTCCGTCCGAACTTTGGTTGTAANAGAGACATGAAGAAGAGAGGACACATGTTGATGTAGAAGAGACATGAAGAAGAGGGGACACATGTTGATGTAGAAGAGACATGAAGAGACATGAAGAAGAGGGGACACATGTTGATGTAGAAGAGACATGAAGAAGAGGGGACACATGTTGATGTAGAAGAGACATGAAGAAGAGGGGACACATGTTGATGTAGAGGGGGAAGAGGGGACACATGTTGATGTAGAAGAGACATGAGGAAGAGGGGACACATGTTGATGTAGAAGAGACATGGAGAAGAGGGGACACATGTTGATGTAGAAGAGACATGAAGAAGAGGGGACACATGTTGATGTAGAAGAGACATGAAGAAGAGGGGACACATGTTGATGTAGAAGAGACATGAAGAAGAGGATTTTGCATAATAGGTGACCTTTAAATGTGTAGATGTTGTGAAATCCCTCTACAAATGCATATTATTGTCATTGTAGGAACAAAATAAATATAAATAACGTCATGCTGTGGGTAATCCCCTCAGGAGCAATTGGGGGTGACTCCAGTGGGGGTCAAGGTGGCTGCCTCCGACTTATTTAATCTCACCTCAAACATTAAACATATTGTATTTACATTTTGTGGTATTTACAGAAACAGAAAACTTAATGATACGACCAGATAGTTATAAATCCTAAATATATTTCAGAAAATTTGCAAAAAGGTCCAAAATTGGGATCAATAAGGTAATGATTCTCTTATCTTATAAAGAAATGTAGCCGAATCCTAATTGTTTTTTGAAAATAAGTGAAATTTCTACATAATTAAGTTTCAGATTTAAGTGTTAACCCTTTTTCAAGTTGTTGGATGAATGAATTTAATGCAATATTATGTTTTATCGTCCAGAGAGAGAGAACAATGAGCTAAAGGAGATTAGAATGACGTAACTCAAGGAGGTGAAGCTGAGTAAAGGAAAGAAAAGACAACAAGCAGCAAACAAACGGCTTTTCTCTCCTGTTTGATGTGGAGTTTGTCCTTCATTTAAAAACACACTGAGAGCTGCTGTTTGGGGGAGAGATGAGGGGGAGGGGGGGGAGGGAGAGTGAGACTGCTTTA